GCCTTACCTTTGGTGGTGCTCTCAGCTCCGGTGTGCGTTGGTAATTGGTATGTTCATGTGGGTCGACATCCTCGTCCCTAGGTGGAGATGGTGGCAGTGTTAAGTATGTGATCCGAGTGCCCGGTCCCTCTTTGTGAAGGCTGACCATGTTTTCAATGTGTTCGTTGCCTAGGCTTGGCCCCAGTGCTGTTCTTTCGTGTTTGATTGCTCCTAGTAGCTTTCCCTCCTTGCTTGTGTTTCGGAGGATGGCAGGGCTGCAGTCGGCGTGGTGTGCTTCATGCAAGTCGTTTGTTGTGAAGTCTCCGTGTGGTCGTGAAGCTGGCTCCTTGCCTAATTCTCGGGTGAGCGCCTCTTCTTGCCGACAGTGCGGCGTCTTTCGAGCCAGGACGAGAGGGTAGCGTCCCTCTCTTCCCGTGGCTACTGGCTGATCCACTGCTGCCTCTTCTGCTTAGTTGTTTTAGGTTCTTCAGTGTGGTGGCAGCGACAGTTGCAAGCTGTGCTTTCATTTTCTGTCTTGTGCTTGCTGTGTGTATTGCGTTGTAAGCTGCTCTTTCAGCTCCTTGTACCGTTCTGCTGTTGTTTGATATTGGTTTTGTGTAATCCCTGGCCCGTTGATGGCGTGCTCTTCTTGAGCCTTCTTTCTAAAAGAACAAATGTTGAACCAAATTCAGCAGGAAGTTTGGTCTAACAGACAATTAGGGAGATGAGAAGATAAATAATAGAGGGTAATCATGCAGGGATATTCCCGTTGAAGTGAAAAACTTTTAAGTATAATAAAGTTCAATCCGTGATGACCGACAAGAAACCCTCCCACAAACAAAGGCTTGACTTTTAACAATGAGACGAAGTGTGTCAAATTCATTGTTCTTTCTAGGAGACTCCATGGAAACCTATAAGCCTGCAATCATAGCAACACCATCATTTGGGTCCCTAGTGTGTAGTAGAGGGCTCATTTATCCATCGTAAGCATTTATTTACCAATTTTTCATGTCACTGTTACTGAAGACTGCATAGACCAAATACCAGTTAAAAAAAATATTATCTGCATGAATGATGCGCTGTTGATGAAAACATGGAAATTATATATACTGACAGTCATAATTCAGTCCCAAATTTTCAACATTTTTTACTTCACATATGACATATGTACCATTGATATAAACATACTTCCCATTTGACTGGTAAATCTGAAGACAATCACAGGTAAACCTAAAAGAAACTAAAGCAAATTAGAGGACAGACGTGAAGAGAAGAGGTACAATGCAGTATACCCACAACCGATTTTAGCAGTTGTTTCAGAATACATGCACTTACGAGAGTACTCACTACAGGAATGGTGTTGCATGTCCACACAATGTGAACATTGGGCTCAGGAAAACTAAGGAAAAGTTCACAATTATGACTTGGGATTTCATCTAAAATCAAAGGTCAAGAACACAACATTTGAATTAATTAAGCACACCCGCACTTTGAGTTCTGACACACCCATACGTCGTCAACAATCTCCTCTCTGCTGCAAAATACACATTAGAAAACCAAGCTTTTCTGATCTCAAGCCCTACAAGCAGCAGAGTTCATATACTCCATAGATTTTCTTGATCAGACATTAGGGATAAGGCATATTTGTTGTGGGTCCTTGTTATGAACTCAATAGGTCGGAGAATACAGCAGTGAATTTGGGGATTAATGGTTACTTGCGTGTTGAGTTCGGAAAGGATTGCTGGAGAATGGTCTCAAACAGTCTCAAGGAGGATGAACTACTGTGGTGGCCACTCGTAGACGCGTGCATAGGATGCGACGGTGAAGTTAGAGAGTCAACAGGTAAGGAAGGGAAGGGAAACAAAAGGAGGAGTCCATGTGGGAGAGAGCGAGGTTTACTTAATCAAACAGCTACATAGATAACTTGAAGGTAGACTGGATAGATGTTATTTCTCTGGGACAAATTCCCTAGGATTAACGCGAGTCCTCGAAAGGAGCATCTAGTTATTAACTCTAAGATAGTGGTGCCTTGTTATTGTGTTGCAACTTAGCAATAAATCAATTTTAATCAATCTGCCTTGACTCTTGCTGGATCTGTCAGACATCGAATACTTCCAGGCCTGGTTGTGACCATCTGTCTGAGAACTGGCTGTTTACACTAGCGGAGCTAAATAGTTCTCACTACATGTCAGTTTGTATAGAGGACAGCTCCAGAAGTCAAGGTCTGTATATATTTCCAGCTTGGGTAATAACTGTTTGCTTACCTTGTCCTTTCAGTTGCTTCATTGTTGCTGTATATGTCAGGTCCTGAAGACAGTCCAGCATCAGTAGGATTGAAAGTATGGAAGACCGTGCCATTTGTTGAAGATACACTCGTCTCTGGAACAGAAGCTGTAAAACTTATTGCCTGACTACTGAAACATTGTTGTGAAACACACTTGGTCCAGCACCAATAGGTTTTGGTCTCTGCCCACTGAAACGTCATTTTTCCTGTGTTGGCTCTCTTCTCTTGGTGGAAACATTGTTGGTCTGAGCTGCCATTCAATGGCTGGCATTACATTACCGTATGTATCTTCAGAGTTTGTTTGCACAACAATGGCTGGTATTTTTATCAAGGAAAGCACACTCTTAATCTATCTAGAATGTTATATGGGATGCAATGCACTTGAGGTGGTTCTCAGCCACAAATGACGGTCGACAGTCAAGGGGAATGTACTAGGCTTCCTGGAACAATTTAGCTCGTTCTTCAATCTCTAGGACGATGTGACCGCAATAACATCCTCCTGCAACAATTCAAGTTCTTTGCCACTGAGCAGTCGTCAACCCACCAAATCACGCATACCAGATCGCCCACACTGTCAAGCACTTTCACCCTATTCATGTTTCAAGTGATCAATCAGAGTAAAAGGTCATTCCAGTTTATGGGGTTCTCGCCGGTTCTGCAATAGTTTGGTCACGTACTCGTCAGCCACAGCCCATACGCACACTGACATTGTGCACTCCAGACGGGAATGCCTTACCCTTGAGGAATCCATGTGACCGTGTATCTTGCATCTCGTGTAACATGCATTCCTATGAACTACTTCCTCCGTATCGATGCATTAGTCATTTTACGAAAACCATATAGTCTCAAAACACTCAGGGGTGATGCATTAACTCTCACCTTATTTCTTATTTCTTGACATGAATAAATGAATCAACCAATAAGAGATGTAGGGCGTGTATGTTTTTAATGAGTTGAGACTACCTACCACGGCATGTAGTGGTTAATTCATTGCATGCAATGGTATTAATTAGCTAATGAACATTACGCTCTCTTGTTTTCCCTTCGTTTTGGTCCTGATGCACAACGTAAGATGACTTAGACTACCCATAGTGGGGAGTAACTTTAGTAACATGCATATGTTACTAGTCTATGTTACTACCTGCATAACGAGGAGTAACATATGTACGGTGTCATACAATACTCCATTTATTAGGTTATAGACTCATCTTGTTTTGGTATGTGTGATGTTACTCATAGTATGAATAACATACAATGTTACCATATGCCTCTTTTTCCTCATTAATTTCTTGCCACATCATCTATCATCTATTTTACCTAGTTATGTGTGATGTTATCATCTACTTTACTCTCACTATGGAGTACGGAGGGAGTAGCATGATTTTGCCGTGAGGAGTGAGTGCTTGGCAAGCCGCCACAAAAATACCCTGATCTTTGACGGCACTAGGACTCTCCAAAGAGATGTCCAGTTTTTCTCCAACTGTCTTGTTGGAGTTCGACGCTCTACCTTCCAGCCACGCCTCCCATCTTCCCTTGGTGCAAGCGACCATGATGAGAACACTTGTTTGCAAATAGTTTTACTTGTTTTAAGTACCACTTTATGTATTACTTTTAACAAATTTTCCACGGCAATGCGCAGGGATCATTTAATAGTATACAAACAGGTACCCCGATAGAAAAAAGATACGTGGGCTCAATCAGTAGCGGAGAGCGGCATGGAAGTAAGATGAGGCCAATTGATAAGCCAAAATAATAGCACTGGCAAAATAATAAAAAAAATTGTCTCACATGGGCCAACAATTACAGATTTATTAGGCCTCGTAAGCGGGTTGCGCCGTCCCTTCAGAAGCTCCCCTCGTGAGTTCAACCTTATTTTTTCTGAGATACAGGTCCATTAATGTACATGTCCAGTGTCTTATACTAGTGTGATATATAGAATTCAATGCATATTTCCAAAGTGCGATGCAATATTGTAGCAATTTGCGGTTAATGTTGTAGCTTGTAGATGTGCAACTAATGTATGCATTTATTTTTTGATGCAGTACCATATCTTAAAAAGTTAATATAATTAATCTAATGTTGTAGCCCGTAGATGTGCAATTAATGTACACATTCCTTTTTTGATGCAGTAATATATCTTCAAGATATATATAATTAATGTAATGTTGTACGCCCGTAGATGTGCAATTAATGTACACATTCATTTTTTTGATGCAATACCATATCTTCAAGATATATATAATAATGTATTGTTGTAGCGTGTAGATATGCAACTAATGTACACATTCATTCTTTTCATGCAGTGCCATATCTTCGAGATATATCATATATACAACTAATGTGTGTAAAACGTGTCGATATGAAGTTAATGTACACATTTATTGTTTGATGCTATTTCATATCTTAAAGGTCTAGCCTGTAGATATAAAGTTAATGTACACATTCATTATTTGATACAATATCGTATCTTCAAGATATAGAACTAATGTATGATGTAGCCTCTAGATGTATAACTAATGTATACATTAATTGTCTGACATGGTGCTATATCTTCATGATACACAACTGGTGTATGCGTCTGTATCATCATCTCAAAGAAGGCTATATATACCAAGACATAGCTAGCGAAGTCATGTATCCCACACATTCATAGAAGCCACACAAATCCTATATTGTACGATTCTAATATCAAAGGGATAGAGAAGGCTCTAGTGTAGGAGATACAAAAGCCATAGCCATGGCAAAACTCATGTGCTTATGTTTCATCATCCTCACTATTGCGGTAGCCGTGTCGGCTGATGAATGTGAGGGTGACCGACAGGCCATGATCAAGGAGTGTGCTAAGTATCAAAAATGGCCAGCAAACCTGAAGCTAGATCCGTCGGACGCATGCTGCGCCGTGTGGCAGAAGGCAAACATCCCATGCCTTTGTGCTGGTGTCACCAAGGAGAAAGAGAAGATATGGTGTATGGAGAAGGTTGCCTATGTTGCCAATTTCTGCAAGAAGCCATTCCCACACGGCTACAAGTGCGGAAGTAAGTGAAATATATTAAGGGAATCACGATGATCCGCATTTCATACATGCAGTTTTGATATTTATTATTCTTTGGAGTCACACAACTTTGATTTTAGTTATGCATTTTATATGTTTCTTGCGCTATTCTGATCATATGTTGGGTCAAATTGAATGGTCTTGCAGGTTACACATTTCCTCCTCTGGCGTAGTGATTCTAGTTTAGCCGCGGGAGGAGAAGCATTGGCTTTTACATTACATGTGTGTGGCCTCACAAGAGCTTCCCTTTCACATTTGTAATTCGTGAGGTTTTACTCATAATAGTTTATGTTAATCACTCTGTATGAGAACGTTTGTGAAACTAATAAAGTCTTCTCCTCAAATTGTCTAAATTATGTTTGTTCATACACAATATTTTTGGTTCTATTTACGGCTCATTGCAGGTGAAGGGATCAAGGATATTAGAAGAAATTACTGTTGTTAAAGCAACAACTTTCATGTGCTTTTTATATCCAAAGTTAATGGGTTCATTTATGGCTGAACTCAACCAATTTTTCATCTTAGTAACTCTTATTCCTCGACCCTGGCTGATGCAAAGCTCCAAATACAACTTACTTTGCTAAAAGTGAGGAGACTCATGGGGAAGGGGATGAGAAAGATAAATGGCATATTCAGTTAGTTGTATATATGATTTCACACACAAATCTGGTGTAGTTCGATTGTAACGGTTTACTTGGATTTTGCAATGATTGCAACGTCTGCTTTGTACAATGTATACACTACCAGCTTTTTATCACACGAAGTATTTCAACTAGCAGCTAGGCTCCCTTAAGGTTCTTTTTAGCTTATTCTTCTTTAGCTTAATCTTAGATTTTCATTGGCTTGGGCTTGATGATTTCCACGTAGACACCGCGTGGGACTAGGTGGGATGCTCGGGTAGGACTTTTCTATGACATGTATATCACAAATTTGGGCAAGAAGGCTCTACTTTTCGTCTCTGTGACTAAGGGAACATTAATATAGAAACAGTTAGAACGTGCATAGATATACAAGAGGGAGGAGGAGAGTTAAGGACAAAAAAATAGTTAAAGGTGGACCAAAGGTATCACACCAGGCTACCAAAGTAGCCCTAATTACAGAACATCAGAAACAGAAGGACCATAGTCTGTTGTCCTCGGCGCAGATGCGCGACTTCTTTCTAATAGAAGACACACACAACATCATCAGCTATCAACGTAATCTGCAAAAGAAGTCTTCATCAGGATAGGCAATTGACAGAGCACACATATGCTTTCTCTAAAAGAGGGTCGAGCCCTTTTGGAAAATAACAACTAAAAGGGTCTATGATACATCACTTGTATACACATAGGTCTGCTAGGGAGAATAACCATTTTTGAATTTCAACCACGCGACTTGAGAAGCTCTAGTTTCTACTTGTAGCAGCCTGAGTTGATCAATCATCCAATTCTCATCGATGGCAATCATGTTAAGTTGATTTCCTTCACCACTCTCGCATTCAAAACAAAGAAATTGGAAAAGCCAACTTCTTTCTTACCACCTTTGTAATTCTTCAACACCATTACTTTGAGATGGTTCTCAAGGCATTTCACTGGATTTAGTAGTGGGTCAGACTAAGGATGCAAGTTCTTCATCTTTGCCTTCAAATACTCCTCTCATTGGGAAATGTGAGATACATGTTAAATAGGCAGTTGCTAACTAGACTAGAATATATAAACGAGAATCAAGAATTTATTTCAACATTTAAGGCAAACAAAAATGAGCACTTACAATGACATAGAACTTTTCCAAGAAGGGGAAGCAACTGAGAAGATTGAGAACGACATCCAAATCAGGGCCAGAAAACTTGAGGGCCAAAATTTTCCTGGTGCATATCGAGTGGCCTAAGATGGGCCAGATTGTTCCCTAAAAAATAAAACAATGGACATGAGAAACAATTATGCATGCATCTAGGATTGCTAGCTGAATGTGAGAGCCAATAAGGGTGTTGTTGATAGCTAGTTGGATGCGACCATTTTCCTAGAACTGGCTATTTACACTCACAGTGCTAAGTAGTTGTCACTACATGTCAATGTGCATAGAGGACGGCTCCAGAAGTCAATGTTTGTATTGCTATGCCAGCTTGGGGTAAATAGTATGTTTATCTTGTCTGTTCTTTTGTCCACTTCATTATTGTTGGTGTATATGTTGGAGGTCCCGAAGATGGTCCAATACCATTAGGATTGAAAGTATGGAAGAACATACCGTTGGTCGAAGATACACATGTGATGGTGCTAAACCCGGTAGATATCGGGTAGGGGTCCCAAGCTAGTGATCTTGGTACGATGGTAACATGACAAAGAATGGACACGGTATTTACTCAGGTTCGGGCCCTCTTAAAGAGGTAAAACCCTTTGTCTTGCTTTGTTGTATTGATTGTGGATGGGGTATAGAGTACATGTTGATCTACCTCGAGATCATATGTGTGAATGAACCTCTTTGTAGATCTAATGATCTAAGTTGTAATGATCTATTGACTATCCTAGCCTCGGTTTATATAATGGGGTATAGAGTACATTTAGAAGAGTCCTCGTCCTGTGCGCCAAGTCTTGTGGAATATCCATTGTATATGTCATGGGCTGCCCGAAGAATCCTAGTAATTAATCGCCACGAGGGTCCTCGGCCCGGCCCTCCTGTCCGTGAGACGACATGGCAAGCACCCCCAACATGTTCCTTCTGGTCCATAAAAAACCCCCGTAAAGTTTTGTGGCATTTGGACTCCGTCTGATATTGATTTTTTGCGATGTAAAAAATTTCGAAAAACAGGAACTGGCACCTGGCACTATGTCAATAGTTTAGTACCAAAAAATGATATAAAATGACTATAAAATGATTATAAAACATCCAAAATTGATAATATAACAACATGGAACAATAAAAAATTATAGATACGTTGGAGACGTATCAGCATCCCCAAGCTTAACTCCTACTCGTCCTCGAGTAGGTAAGTGATAAAAATTGAATTTTTGATGTGAAGTGTTGTTTAACATGTCATATCATATTCTTTTCTTTATAGCATGGACATTTGGACTTTTTATGTGATTCAAAGCAATAATCTAGTTTTGACATAATAATTTAGATACTCAAGCATATCAACAAGCAACCATGTCTTTCAAAATATCAACGCTAAAATAAGTTATCCCTAGCCCATCATGATCAAACATTGATCCATTCATGAAACACACTCGAATATTAGCTACACCCAATACTTAAGTACGATCATATTGCCTCCTAGTTGGTGCTTTTTATAAGAAAAGATGGAGACTCAAATTCAAAAATAAAAATTGCATAAAGTAGAAGAAAGGCCCTTCGCAGAGGGAAGTAGGGATTTGTAGAGGTGTCAAAGCTCAAAGCGAAAAACTTAGAGATAAATACATTTTGGGATGTGTATCCATCCCACCAACTAATAGTTCCCAATACTTTCCATGCATAGATATATCATAGGCGGTTCCCAAACAGAAAATAAAGATTATTCCTTTTTCCACCATAACTTTCACTTTCCATGGCTAACCATATCCACGGGTGCCCTCCATACCAACACTTTTCAAGGAATTTATTATTTGACAACATAAACTAAATTTATTTTTGCATTTCGGGACTGGGCATCCCTAATACCTTTGCTTTACTCTCGTGTAATGACAAGTGAATAAACACTCATCTTGAGAATAACATATCTAGCATGGAAAATATTAGCCACCCCTCACCGCTCCGCGAGCGAAACAAACACACAAAAGAGAAGTTTATTTTGAAAATTAGAGATGGCACATGCAAATTTGCTTAGAACAACAAAAGAATACCACATATAGGTAGATATAGTGGACTCATGTGGCAAAACTGGGTTAAAGGTTTTTGGATGCACAAGTAGTGATCATACTTAGTGCAAAATGAAGGCTAGCAAAAGATTGGGAAGTGACCAACTAAGAAACAGATAATCTCATAAGCAAGCATTAAGCATAATTAACACCGAATAATGCACCACAAGTAGGATATAATTTTCATTGCATGATTATTGACTTTCGTGCATGCATAGGGAATCACAAACCTTAACACCAATATTCTTACTAGAGCACAATTGCTCATCAACATAACTCACATATCACATCATCATATCTCAAAACTATTACTAAGAATCAAGTTTATTTTGTCCAATGATCTTCATGACATTTTTTTCTTTATCCTTCTTGGATATCTATCACTTTGGGACTAATTTTCATGTGTTGCTTTTCATAAGCTCAAACAAATATAAGTGAAGATCATGAGCATAATAAATTTTTCTTTCTCTCAAAATAATTTAAGTGAAGCAAAGAAGAATTTCTTCAAAAATACTAAGCACACCATGCTAAAAAAGATATAAGTGAAGCACTAGAGCAAGTCCTAGCTCATAAAATTTTTTAAGTGAAGTATAGAGAGCAATTCTAACAAGTCATGGCATAATTTTGGCTCTCTCTAATAGGTGTGTCCAGCAAGGATTGATGACTTAAAACACAAAATAAAACAAGCAAAGACTCATATCATACAAGACGCTCCAAGCAAAAAACATATCATGTGACGAATAAAAATATAGTTTCAAGTAAAATACCGATGATCGTTGGAAGAAAGCGGGGATGCCACTCGGGGGCATCCCCAAGCTTAGTTGGTTGCTCATTTTTGGATAATAGCTTGGGATGCCGGGGCATCCCTCAACTTAGGCTCTTTCATCCTTCCTTCATCCATCGTAAGATAACCCTAAACTTGAAAACTTCAATCACACAAAACTCAACAAAACCTTCGTGAGATCCGTTAATATAAGAATAATAAACCACTACTATAAGTGTTGTATCAAACCAATTCATATTTTGTTTTCATATTATATCTACCATATTCCAACTTTTTTATGGCAAAAACTCATCAAAGAAAACCATAGAGCCATCAGAATAAGCACACAACACAAAGAAACCAGAATATGTCAAAAGAGAACAGTCTGTAGCAATCTGACTATTTCGAATACTTTTGTAACTCCAAAAATTCTAAAAAATTAGGAAGACCTGAGAAATATGTATATTGATCTACTTCAAGTGGAACAGGTATTTTATCGCTCTTTGGTAAAATATAAAAATTAATCTTGTGAGCGTAAAAGTTTCTATTTTTTCAGCAAGATCAAACAACTATCACCCAA